GGGGACAGCTGGGGGCCGGCTTTAGGAGCTTGGATTCAGGGTCTTGTTCTGGAAGTTCCATGTGAATATTGGTGTTAGAAAACTACCAGAAGTCCCAGAGCTGTCGTTTTGACTGCTCTCACTCAAACCAATGGAATGCCGAGATATTTCCCCAAGATTTATAAAAAGTAAAGTAATATGTAGGGTTTTTACTTTTACTCACAATAAGAAAACCGGTCACATGAAATCCAAAATAGTTTGTTGAGAGTCTAAAGCCAAAGTGGAAAATAATGATTCTCCCGATGATTAGATGAACAATACTTACAATACAATAAAATTTTAAAAGATTCTAAAATCAAGGGAAATGTCCCCAAAATCTGTTGATATTTGGCTCTTCTTTGTGTTTTGCTAATTGCCATTCGCCGTGCAGCCGGTTCTCAACTCAAAAGTACAAGTACATCTGATTCATTGCTGTATCTCTGGCATGTGGAAGCAGTAAGCAGGCAATTTTACTCAAAGGAGAAAAAAATCCTGATTGCTAACTTGATCTGAAAGGAGCCTGCGGGGCGTTTGATTGGTGACTTTCCCACAGCGGGACTGAAAACCGTTCCAGGACTGAGGCTGTAGACCCAGGACTGAGGCTGTAGACCCAGGACTGAGGCTGTAGATCCAGGACTGAGGCTGTAGACCCAGGACTGAGGCTGTAGATCCAGGACTGAGGCTGTAGACCCAGGACTGAGGCTGTAGATCCAGGACTGAGGCTGTAGACCCAGGACTGAGGCTGCAGACCCAGGACTGAGGCTGTAGACCCAGGACTGAGGCTGTAGACCCAGGACTGAGGCTGTAGATCCAGGACTGAGGCTGTAGACCCAGGACTGAGGCTGTAGACCCAGGACTGAGGCTGTAGATCCAGGACTGAGGCTGCAGACCCAGGACTGAGGCTGTAGATCCAGGACTGAGACTGTAGATCCAGGACTGAGGCTGTAGACCCAGGACTGAGGCTGTAGATCCAGGACTGAGGCTGTAGACCCAGGACTGAGGCTGTAGATCCAGGACTGAGGCTGTAGACCCAGGACTGAGGCTGCAGACCCAGGACTGAGGCTGTAGACCCAGGACTGAGGCTGTAGACCCAGGACTGAGGCTGTAGATCCAGGACTGAGGCTGTAGACCCAGGACTGAGGCTGTAGATCCAGGACTGAGACTGTAGATCCAGGACTGAGGCTGCAGACCCAGGACTGAGGCTGTAGATCCAGGACTGAGACTGTAGATCCAGGACTGAGGCTGTAGACCCAGGACTGAGGCTGTAGATCCAGGACTGAGGCTGCAGACCCAGGACTGAGGCTGTAGATCCAGGACTGAGACTGTAGATCCAGGACTGAGGCTGCAGACCCAGGACTGAGGCTGTAGATCCAGGACTGAGACTGTAGATCCAGGACTGAGGCTGTAGATCCAGGACTGAGGCTGTAGATCCAGGACTGAGGCTGTAGATCCAGGACTGAGGCTGCAGACCCAGGACTGAGGCTGCAGACCCAGGACTGAGGCTGCAGACCCAGGACTGAGGCTGCAGACCCAGGACTGAGGCTGTAGATCCAGGACTGAAGCTGCAGACCCAGGACTGAGGCTGCAGACCCAGGACTGAGGCTGCAGACCCAGGACTGAGGCTGTAGATCCAGGACTGAAGCTGCAGACCCAGGACTGAGGCTGCAGACCCAGGACTGAGGCTGCAGACCCAGGACTGAGGCTGTAGATCCTGGAGTTCCCGTCTGTAGGGAGAAGCCAAAGCATTAGTAACCTCTAAACCTTTCTTTTTGCATCTGAAATCTAGAACAAAACCCTGAATCCAATCCGTTTGAACTGATCTGGAAAGACACTTTTGTAGCGGACTCTTTGTTGTGAGCTCAGCAGAAACAGGACTCTCCGTGGAGCAGGTCGATGGCCTTTCTGACTCTGGGGATGCTTCGACGTTCAATAACTCGGTCTGGGACTTTGTGAAAACCAGTCTGGCTTCCGCACTCACAAACTGGAGCCGGGCTTTTCCATTCAAACTCACGCTGATTTCAGATCTGGATTTACTCCTGAGCGGACGACCTGAACATGTGAGTGAGAACAGACTTTGGAGGAGCGAAGGAGACGTGATAAATGTAAAAAGGTTTATTATGTTGTCTTTATGTTCAAGGCTTAGAGGGTTTGCATGATGAGGCAAAGAGTAAAGAAGCTAGATCTGCTTCATCATCATCATGTTTGGGAGGTAGACTTATGGGTCTGGTCAGCCTGATAGATCCATTAGACTGACCACGCCCCTTCAGACTGACCACGCCCCCTCCGACTGACCACACCTCTTCCAAGTGGCCACACCCCCTCCAAGTGACCATGCCCATTCAGAGTGACCACGCCCTCTCTGAGTGACCATACCTTCCGACTGACCACACCCCTTCAGAGTGACCACACCCCCTCCGAGTGACCACGCCCCTTCAGAGTGACCAGACCCCTTCAGAGTTACCACACCCCCTCCGAGTGACCACGCCCCTTCAGAGTGACCACACCCCCTCCGAGTGACCACGCCCCTTCAGAGTGACCAGACCCCTTCAGAGTTACCACACCCCCTCCGAGTGACCACGCCCCTTCAGAGTGACCACACCCCCTCCGAGTGACCACGCCCCTTCAGAGTGACCAGACCCCTTCAGAGTTACCACACCCCTTCAGAGTTACCACACCCCCTCCGAGTGACCACGCCCCTTCAGAGTGACCACACCCCCTCCGAGTGACCACGCCCCTTCAGAGTGACCAGGCCCCTTCAGAGTTACCACACCCCTTCATAGAGACTACGCCCCCTGCGACTGACCACGCCCCTTCTGAGTGACCACACCCCCTCAATTCCCTCAGACTGACTCTGGAGAAGTGAGTCCCATGTGTGAGCCAAAGTGAAGGCCCCCTTGTCTCTGTTGATGGTCCATGCTCAGTTCAGTTCAATTCCATGTATTTTTGTATCGCCCTGAATCACATCAGTAGTTTTCTCAGAGGACTTTACAAATCTGTCGATTCGCCAACACAGATCAGAGAATCATCTTTCATTCTGACTGTTTCTGCATGGTCCCAGTCCGTTACATGATTTTGGACATGTTGCCTGTGCGCTCGCATTTGTTCCCCCACTTTTGTCTTATCATAAAAACCTTCTAAGCCTTAAAAGAGACATGTTATGCATTGTTTTGGGAATTTCATATGAAACTTTATTGATCTAAAACAGTAATGATAGAAATAGGTTCAAATGGTCACTTTTATGTTTTCTACCTTTTCAAATGCTTCACATCAAAGAACCAAACCCCCACTCAGACACACAACAGACACACGCACACACACACACACACTCACACACACACTACAGACGCACACACACACACATTACAGACACATACACACACAATAGACGCACGCACACACACACTACAGACGCACGCACACACACTCACACACACACACAACAGATGCAAACACACAACAGATGCAAACACACACAAACAGACACAGGGAGAGAGTTAAGTGTCTTGCCCAAGGACACAAATCAGGAATCCCCAATGGGAGTTGGTTCCACACCTGCTCCACCTGAGGGCAGTGGATTTGACTGCTAACCCTCTGATGTTTATGTCGGGAGCAGGACTCGACACACGTTCATTCACTTCCTGTTCAAAAGTTCACAGCAGATTCTGTTTCGTATTTCTGTGGAAAATGAATCTGTTTGAACCAAAAACCGAGTACAGAACCCATAAATATGTCTTAAAAACATTTCCTTTTCACAGCAGCTTCGATTTCTCTAAAATGCTTTGTAGCAAATATCACCGATCACATTTCCTGATTATATTTTTAATTGTTTATATATTTTTTGATAAAGTCACCATCAACACAAACGATCAGATCCAATTCTAAGTAAGTCAATTCAAGTATCAAACTGGCTCCAGACTGGGCCGAGGCTTCACTTTTCTAAATGACAAAAACATATATTTCACTCGATCAATTATGGCTTCATTTCGCAGCATTAGAACCAATTTCGGCACAAAAAGTAACGTCAGGTCCTTCGTTTGTTCTGTGAATCACGATTAACAAACCTCCTCCGCTTTTCTCTCGCTAAACCCAATTTCTCGATCACATTTGGACGCACAATCTCTCTGGTCGTGAATCCTCAAAGCAACAATAGAACCCATCACAGGGCTCTTTATCTACACGACCGACGCACAACAAACCAGTATCCATGGAAATTCCTTGGTAACCGTGGCTTCCAGCAGCACTCTAGCTAATCTCTGTTAGTTAGAACACTTAAGCACCAGCTCGGCCTGGATAGACCCAGGACCAAAAGGGACTAAAGAAAGACCTGGGACTGGTTACACACAACCAGAGGAAACAACCAATCAGGGAAGAGTATAGGGTAGAATAGAGTATAGTAGAGTAAAGTAGAGTAGGAATAGTAGAAAAAGTGGGACTAGTAGAACTGGATTCACTCTTTCCTGGGTTATTATGAATAACAGAAGAATGATCAAATCGACAAACCGCAGCGGATACTAAAATATTCATTGCAGCCGTATATACGCAGCGACGTCAACCGCATTTCTCTCGCTAACCGAATTTCCCTAAATCGAATTCGAATTTATCTGTCGACGTCGCCATGAACAAAACGCCGCTTGCAGGAATAACGCTTACGTCGCTGCACTTGGAATTGGACAGATACAATCGCCATTCCTCAGTCTCTTCATTTGGTTATTTACCGTCGGGCTGAGCGCGCGGCGGCGGCGGAGGTGTCGCGGTGTGATTTGGCCATTAATCCCCCGGCCCCCCCAGCTCCCCCCCCTCGGCCCCCGTATGCTCTCCTCGTTCATCGCCCGCTCCTTGATTAGAACTGTAAACGTGTTGGCGCGGCAGCGATACGGACAGAGGCAGACATTAGTTACCGCGCGGCTGACGGTCTGAGTAATGAGGAGATAGCAGGATGGGATGAGGGGGTAGGGCATGGGGGGGGGGCAGGGGGTGTGGAGGCTGATAAGCGATTCAGCACCAGCACCGTTGATTTACACTGTAAAAATAAGGACAAAAAAGAAACAAATGTTTAAAAATTCCAGGCCAAAAAAATTACAATCTCCAACTTATGTTTTAAGCTTCGCAGAGGAAAAAGCAAATTGGTGTTTTTGTCCTGGTTCAAGCGAAGACCTCCAACTTCCTTTTCAATGTGTTTTTGTATCGCCCTAAATCACAACATCTTGGAGGACTTTACAAACACAGACTCAAACACAGACTCAGAGTCCAAACACATTTTATTCTGTTTCCCGTTACTTCTGTCACTTATACATGTCCTAATCTGTTCCCGTTTATTCCTACATTAAACTGGGATGAAACAAAGAGATTCAAATTTCAAACACGCAGCAAAGAATATATTTTGCTTAATTGTGACATAATAAAATGTTCAAGAATATAGTTTAACAGTTCTGTCCCGCGTCTCCTTTAGACTCCAACACAAAACACGCACAGGGTCCTTTACTATTATGTCCATGTGTAATATTATTATTTCACATTTGTATTATTATTATTATTATTATTATTGTATTGTTGTTTTATTAAATGTTCATAAACCCATTCGGCTGAAAAACGTGAAGGCCTATTTTTTTTTACAACGCAATGCAAAATGTGGCTCCTTTATGATCTGAGAGAATTAATGCAGAACTAATTCAACACATTTTTTTATTTTGTTTTGGCTAAAGCGGAACCACAGCGTATTAAGGAGAGTACATTTGGTTTCAAGAATCGGCTAAAACACGTAACGACAAAAGACGCTTCATGAACGCGCTTTGATTGGTTCGTCTTTCTATCACTTTATGTCTTGTTAAAATTGGTTTATAAAATTCTGAATTCTATAAAAATGTGTAAATACTGTCTGCGTAATAATTGAAACGCGTCCCATAATGTGTAGCCTATTTCTGTGTGTATCCATTATCCAACAGGAAAGCTCTTCTGTGTTTTTGTTTTTGTATTCTATGCCATTTGTGTTTAACGTGTTATAATATGATTTATTTAATTGTTGCAAAAATTATATATCTGATCATTTTGCTGCACTCAGGTTTCGTAAAAAGCACTATACAGCTAGTATCCCCCGCTGATCTACAGTATATCCATGTTGTGCCAAGATGGGCCTTTACGCACGGACGTTCCATTCATCTATCACACGCAAAATACCAAACTGTCATATATTTTTCTACATTAACTCACTTATATATTTACCACAGATCTGTTCTTCTATGCAATTTCAACACGGCTCCATAAACACTCGTTATACCTTTATCTGTCTCCATTACGCACTATTCTACGCGTCTCCATTACGCACAATATACCCGTCTCCATTACGCGCGCGTCTATCCAACACACATAATTTCCCAGCCTTCGTGATCCATCCATTTGTGTTTATTGTGTCCTGTTCCCGCGCGGTGTTCGGGGCCCGGTGCGCGCTCCCGCTCCCTCCACACACGGTCCGCGCGCTCTGCATTATATTGGTGTCATTTGGCGAGGTCCAATTGGCACTTCTCTTTTTTATGGGCGCGTCGTAAACTCAGACATTGGCTTTTACGACGCTTACAACAGCTCATTTCGAGTGGACTCCAAATGTTTACAAGGATTGCGCATGCGCCGTGATGTGTGTGTGTCCGACAGGAGGGAATGCGACTCTTTCTTATTGTTATGATGCCAATTTCTAATTTATTGTACATGCAGTGTCGGTCTTTCGTATAAGGAATGAGTTGTGTGTTATATATGGATTTGTTTGTACTCTCTACGTGGTCGTGTGTTCTGTTTTCACGTCCAAAGCGGAAACTGGAGTGTTTTAATAAATGATATGTTCTTTGGAAGCGCCTTGGACTCTGTTATTACTGTTATTACTGCTGCTTATGAATGTGTTTTATTTTATTTGTAGATAATTTAAAAACATGGACGTTATGGTGGATGTTTTTACTTGTTTAGTCAGATTTATTTAGTTGTATTTTGATTTTTTGATTATTTTTTATAAATGATCTGACTTTTTTCTCCTACACATTGAATGCATTTTCTAAATTAAAAAAATCAAAATATGAAAAAAAACCTTTTATATATCTGAGGACAGACAAAATTAGACAATTTGAACAGAATTGGAAATTGCTACAAAAGCTTTTTGTGTGTGTGTGTGTGTGTCCGTGTGCGTGTGTCAGTGTGTTTTACCGAGTCTAGTCACTAAATACACTGGATTTATTTTTCAAAATTCAAAATATGAACAAGAACCCACTCTGAATTTACAGTTTTTAGAGAAAGTTGTAAAAATGCACTAATTTGGGATTTTGTGTGTGTGTCTCTTTCTGTGTGTGTACGTGTGTGTGTGTGAGTGTGTGTGTATGTGTGTGTGTGTGTGTGCATACGGGATAATTAATAATAATAATAACAATTGTATTGTGGCTGCAAACCATTAGCATTATGTTGAAAGACCATTGTTGTCATTTTTGAAACTTGCATCTTTTTTCTGCTAAAGTTAGAGATTTGATTTAATTTAATTTAATTTCATAGTTATTGTTCCTTTCTCTTGTGCTGTGTGCTCCTCATTCCTACTGTTGTGTAACTGCTGATACAACAATGACATTTCCTCACTGCGGCACCAACAAAGCATCTCTTAATTTCCTTATTCCCCCTCAAACCCTTTTCCACTTTTATTCCATAAAATAAAATAATAATCGTTGTTGAATTTACTGACGATATGAAAAAACTGACTTTTCTATATTATAAACGATAATTGATACGTGCTCGTCATTATCCATATTCAATTCAATGTATTTGTGAACATAGTCACCTTTATTTGTTAATTGTACATGATCTTGCACAAAAAACAATATATATATTTATTTTTTACACGTTTACCACTTCCCCACATTTCCTCACTGTGGGACCGATAAAGGACCTTAATCTTAGTCTTATTGGACAATGTTCTGATCTCAGTCAAACAGTTTTCAGATGTGTTCAGACCGGTCCTGGAGTCTGTTGGTACACTGTGTAATTACAGATACACACGTCCATTTATGTGTGTGTGTCTGTGTGTGTTGTGTGCGTGTGTCTGTCTGTGTGTGTTTGTGTGCGTGCGTGGGAGCTGAGGCATGTGTTGGAAATATGCGTCTCTTCCTCTTCTTCTTCTAAAGTGAAAAGAAAGAGGCGTCCGTTTGGCTGCAACACCAAAAGACCGTCATAAAAACATAAAGCCATAAACGCCCCGCACCCACGCACACATGCACGCGCACCCACGCACTCATGCATGCGCACCCCCACACAGACACAGACACACACACGTACACGCACTGGTGACGAGAAGCGCCCAGTGCCAAAAGTCCCGAAGAAGACGCACGCAGTCTGAGCGCGCGCACGTGGCCGCCGGAGGGTGCTGATCCGGTTTAGACTCAGTGGTTTGGGTTTTGGTGAAGTCCGAGTTCATAAAAAGCTTCTTTGGAATTTGGTGCTGATCAGGGACGTGCGGTGAGGTTTGTGATTGGGGAGGCACTGACTTTAAAAGTCAGATTTACAATCATTATTCAAATAAAATAGCATTTAATCACCAATGCAATGACATCCACAAACTTTATATACTGTAAAGATAAGAGAACCAGCTTCTTTTAATAATCTCACAACAAATCTAGCTGCTGACTCTGCTCCGCATCAAACAACATCTTTAAGAAGCGCAGGTGCGAGAGACGCGAGGAGAGAGAGACGCGAGGAGAGAGGAGCAGAGAGAGACAGAGAGGAGCAGAGAGACGGAGACGCGAGGAGCAGAGAGAGACGGAGACGCGAGGAGAGAGAGACGCGAGGAGAGAGGAGCAGAGAGAGACAGAGAGGAGCAGAGAGACGGAGACGCGAGGAGAGAGAGACGCGAGGAGAGAGGAGCAGAGAGAGACAGAGAGGAGCAGAGAGACGGAGACGCGAGGAGCAGAGAGAGACGGAGACGCGAGGAGAGAGAGACGCGAGGAACATAAACAATAATTTAAACAAGTTGCAGAACTCTTGAGCAGTGTTTGAATCAGTGTTTTTCGGAAAAGCACTACTTTGCCGGTATCTGTCAATGTTCAACATAAAACACAGATTAACAAACTCCTCCCCCGCAGCCGGACTAACCTCGTAAGTCCAGTGGTGGTCTCCCAGTCTATATTAATTCTTTCTTTGTTTGAAAGTCCAATTGAGAAAAAAAATCTTCATTCAAATCATCCATTTTCCAGCAAAAGAAATAGCATTTTGGGCTGATTGTTTGTTAGCAACTCTGGTATGAACTTTATGCTCACTATCACCCCTAGCGGTGAGGCACAGATACCGCCTGCCTCACGCCAAGCTTTTTCCTTGTGTGTTCATCTACGATCAAAAGACTTAAACTAAATATAAATTGTACACACATACGTGCAATACACTACTAAACACTAAGAGGAGTTTAAAAAATGTTTTTAAAGCAGGATATTTGAAACAAACGGTGATATATCAACTGCACGAGCTGAGTGCACTCAGACACACACACACACACTGTGAGGGAGCGGTCTGAGGTGAGGCACGCAGGAGCGCTGCCTCACCTCGTCTCTTTGAATAGGAATAACGGGATTTCGGCGATTTTGACTTCAGAAATGATCAAAACTGATGGGAACCGTGCCGAATATACATTAAAAGCATAGGACAGTGGATACAAATTATATATTTAAACTAAAATAATTATTAGTTTCCAATAATGGCAGGTGAGGCTCTGCCTCCCCTGCCTCCCCTGACTGCACGTCCCTGGTGCTGATAGAATCTTGGCACAAACGATCCTCCGCGTGAGGCAGAAACATCCACAATAATGTGTTAAAGCTGCGGTCCCTAAATTTTTAATCACAACAAAAGAAAACATACCTTACTCTACTCTACTCTACCCCACTCTACCCTACCCTACTTTAATCTACCCTACTCTACCCTACTCTACTCTACCCTACTTTAATCTACCCTACTCTACCCTACCCTACCCTACTCTACTCTACTCTACCCTACCCTACTCTACTCTACTTTAATCTACTCTACTCTGCCCTACTCTACCCTACCCTACTCTACCCTACTTTAATCTACTCTACTCTACCCTACTTTAATCTATTCTACTCTACTCTACTCTACCCTACTTTATTCTACTCTACCTTACTCTACCCTACCCTACATTACTCAAATCTACTCTACTCTACTCTACCCTACTCTATTCTACTCTACTCTACTTAGGGGTTGTTTCCATGGAGACGCTGGAACAGTTAAAGGTCAGAGTTTAAATCATGTCCTTTCGTTTACTCGGAGACAGTGTTTCTGGTGCAAACGTTGAGAAACAGCCTCCAGAGCGGAACAGAGACGCTGCTGCGGTGAAGGATAAAGGTGTGACCTCTGCTGCGATGACCTCGGCACTTCCTCCACGGACATTTGGACGCCGCAGAACGTAAACAACAATGGCGGCTGGACCTTCAGACGGACACTGAGTTGTTCGCTGCAGATGTTGGTGACAGCTCTTCTTCTGGTGTTGGTGGATCAGAAAGGCCTCCACACTCTGTAAAGTCATGTGTGCTTTATTCTTCAGCGTGTTTCGACGATGCTGAAGGACAGATTTCTTGACTTTCTAGACCCTCTACTATTTATATATTTATAAGTGTCTGTAAACTTGACCTTTCAACGATATTGGAGCAGAACCATAAAACTAACTCTGAGTCACGTGAGGAAAGTTCATTCGACGAGAAGAAAAATGACCGTCAGAGAAGTGAGAAAAATCCACAGAACGACCTGCACTGAACATGAAGCACACGTTTATCTGAAGAGAGATCTCCAACGAGAGGACGGGCCCTAGAGGAGCAGGTGTGGTCATGAGGACCACGGCCAGGAGGAGGAGGGGAGGGGGAAGAGGAGGAGGAGGAGGAGGAGGAGGGGGAAGAGGAGGAGGGGGAAGAGGAGGAGGGGGAAGAGGAGGAGGGGGAAGAGGGTGAGGAGCAGGAGGAGGAGGAGGAGGGGGAGGAGGAGGAGGGGGGGTGAGGAGCAGGAGGAGGAGGAGGAGGAGGAGGAGGAGGGGGGGTGAGGAGCAGGAGGAGGAGGAGGAGAAAGAGGAGGAGGAGGAAGAGGAGGAGGGGGAAGAGGAGGAGGAGGAGGGGGGGTGAGGAGCAGGAGAAGGAGGAGGAGAAAGAGGAGGAGGAGGAGGAGGAGGAGGGGGGGTGAGGAGCAGGAGGAAGAGGAGGAGGGGGAAGAGGAGGAGGGGGGGTGAGGAGCAGGAGAAGGAGGAGGAGAAAGAGGAGGAGGAGGAAGAGGAGGAGGGGGAAGAGGAGGAGGAGGAGGGGGGGTGAGGAGCAGGAGGGGGAGGAGGAGGAGGGGGAAGAGGGTGAGGAGGAGGAGGAGGGGGAGGAGGAGGAGGAGGGGGAGGAGGAGGAGGAGGGGGAAGTAAGTAAGTAAGTAAGTAAGTAAGTTTTTATTTATATACCGCCTTTTCACTGCAGATCTGAGTCTCAAAGCGGTTTACAATTGTCATTTTTGGGCATTAGTCTCTCACTCCACACAGAGATGGGAGCGGGGCCAGTACAGGAGGCGCATGCCAGAACTATTGGACATATTTTTAGTGGTAGGGGAAACCGGAGTACCCGGAGGAAACCTACGCAGACGCGGGGAGAACATGCAAACTCCACTCAGAAAGGCCCTGGTCCGACCGGGATTCGAACCCAGGACCTTCTTGCTGAGAGGCGAGAGTGCTATCCACTCTGCCACCGTGCCGCGGAAGAGGAAGAGGAGGAGGAAGAGGGTGAGGAAGAGGAGCAGGAGGAGGGGGAGGAGGAGGGGGAAGAGGGTGAGGAGCAGGAGGAGGAGGAGGAGGGGGAGGAGGAAGAGGAGGAGGGCGAGGAGAAGGAAAAGGAGGAGGAGGAGGGGGGGTGAGGAGCAGGAGCAGGAGAAGGAGGAGGAGGAAGAGGAGGAGGGGGAAGAGGAGAAGGAGGAGGGAGAGGAGGAGGAGGAGGGGGGGTGAGGAGCAGGAGGAGGAGGAGAAAGAGGAGGAGGAGGAAGAGGAGGAGGGGGAAGAGGAGGAGGAGGAGGGGGGGTGAGGAGCAGGAGAAGGAGGAGGAGAAAGAGGAGGAGGAGGAGGAGGAGGAGGAGGAAGAGGAGGAGGAGGAGGAGGGGGGGTGAGGAGCAGGAGAAGGAGGAGGAGAAAGAGGAGGAGGAGGAAGAGGAGGAGGGGGAAGAGGAGGAGGAGGAGGGGGGGTGAGGAGCAGGAGAAGGAGGAGGAGGGGGAGGAGGAGGAGGAGGGGGCAGAGGAGGAGGAGGAAGAGGGTGATGAGCAGGAGGGGGAAGAGGAAGAGGAGGAAGAGGAGGAGGCAGAGAGGGGTTGAGGAGCAGGAGGAGGAGGAGGAGGAGAGAGAGAGGAGGGGAGGAGGAGGAAAAGGAGGAGGGGGGTGAGGAGGAAGAGGAGGAGGAGGAGAGGGGTTGAGGAGCAGGAGGAGGAGGAGGAGGAGAGGGGGGAGGGGGAGGGGGGAGAGGAGGAGTGGGGTGAGGAGGAAAAGGAGGAGGAGGAGGAGGGGGGTGAGGGGGAAGAGGAGGAGGAGGAGGGGGGTGAGGGGGAAGAGGAGGAGGAGGAGGTGGGGGGAGAGTATGCTGAATATAATGAATCCACAGAATTTGTTTTTGAAGCAGTTTTATCAGAGAAGCTGAAACCAAAACAGATCAGTTTCACTTCTGGATAATAAAGTTGAATAAAAACTAGGGCTGTCAAACGATTATTTTTTTTATCGAGTTAATTACAGCTTAAAAAATAATTAATCGTAATTAATCACATTTCAAACTATTGGCAAAATTATGCCATATTTTTCTGTAAATTGTTGTTTGAATGGAAAGATAAATGACAGCTTAGTGAACATATGAACTGTATTTGTTTGTTATAACAATAAATCCATATAAAATGGAATTAACATTATTAACATTCTGTCTTTCTGTTTAGACTCAGACCAAACCATTGTTTGTTACAGATGAGGGACATTTCAAAATAGTCTGAAGCAGAATGTCATTAAATCTGTTTGATTTGCTCACACCATTACTTTTTTGGCACAACTAACATGAACTGGTGGTCGAAAGGAAAATTAGGTACCTCAGCTTTAATTTAGCGAGTGCGCTTTGGGAGAAGACACGAAGGAGACTGAGGCTCCACAGTCCAGCTTCAGCGCTGTACATGTTGTGTGCATCGGTTACGCAAAGACACGTACGCACACTAGAGAATAGTTCTGTGATAGTTCTGTGCGTGGTCTTGGATATGATCCTATTACGCAGCGCCGTTCGTCGTCATCACAGCCGCTGGAAGTGGGAACTGTCCAGAGCGCTGTGGCCGCAGCTCCTCATGCAGAGTTCATACAGGAAACAAGTGCCCCGCGGTCACGTGTGTATTCTTTCAAAACTTGAATTCCCAGAGACCTGCTCTGTCCCCATCTTACACACGCATGTGTCCGCGGCATTCTGAGTGTTATTCGGAGTGATGTCTTCATCAACCTGTACTGTCCCAACCAGATAATCAATAAATATAATATAGATATACCTTTGATCTTATGATGTTGCTGATACAGAGAGGGATAATAATATATGTTTTAAACATGGCAACACCCGCCTTCCCACCCCCTCCTCCACAGCAGCAGAGCGACCCGCCTCCTCCACAGCAGCAGAGCGACCCGCCTCCTCCACAGCAGCAGAGCGACCCGCCTCCACAGCAGCAGAGCGACCCGCCTCCACAGCAGCAGAGCGACCCGCCTCCTCCACAGCAGCAGAGCGACCCGCCTCCACAGCAGCAGAGCGACCCGCCTCCTCCCTCCACAGCAGCAGAGCGACCCGCCTCCTCCACAGCAGCAGAGCGACCCGCCTCCTCCACAGCAGCAGAGCGACCCGCCTCCTCCACAGCAGCAGAGCGACCCACCTCCTCCACAGCAGCAGAGCGACCCGCCTCCTCCACAGCAGCAGAGCGACCCACCTCCTCCACAGCAGCAGAGTAACTCGCCTCCTCCCCCCACAGCGGCAGAGCGACCCACCTCCTCCACAGCAGCAGAGCGACCCGCCTCCTCCACAGCAGCAGAGCGACCCGCCTCCTCCACAGCAGCAGAGCGACCCGCCTCCTCCACAGCAGCAGAGTAACTCGCCTCCTCCCCCCACAGCGGCAGAGCGACCCACCTCCTCCACAGCAGCAGAGCGACCCGCCTCCTCCACAGCAGCAGAGCGACCCACCTCCTCCACAGCAGCAGAGCGACCCGCCTCCTCCACAGCAGCAGAGTAACTCGCCTCCTCCCCCCACAGCAGCAGAGCGACCCGCCTCCTCCATAGCAGCAGAGCGACCCGCCTCCTCCACAGCAGCAGAGCGACCCGCCTCCTCCACAGCAGCAGAGCGACCCGCCTCCTCCACAGCAGCAGAGCGACCCGCCTCCTCCACAGCAGCAGAGCAACCCGCCTTCTCCTCCTCCTCCTCCACAGCAGCAGAGTGACCCACCTCCTCCACAGCAACAGAGCGACCCGCCTCCTCCCCTCCACAGCAGCAGAGCGACCCGCCTCCTCCCCTCAACAGCAGCAGAGCGACCCGCCTCCTCCCCTCCACAGCAGCAGAGCGACCCACCTCCTCCACAGCAACAGAGCGACCCGCCTCCTCCACAGCAACAGAGCGACCCGCCTTCTCCTCCTCCTCCTCCACAGCAGCAGAGCGACCCGCCTCCTCCCCTCCACAGCAGCAGAGCGACCCGCCTCCTCCCCTCCACAGCAGCAGAGCGACCCGCCTCCTCCCCTCCACAGCAACAGAGCGACCCGCCTCCTCCCTTCCACAGCAGCAGAGCGACCCGCCTCCTCCTCCACAGCAGCAGAGCGACCCGCCTCCTCCCCTCCACAGCAGCAGAGCGACCCGCCTCCTCCCCTCCACAGCAGCAGAGCGACCCACCTCCTCCTCCACAGACGGCATACATCAGCGGCCCGCGTCTCGTTAGCGGTGACACAGTGCTGCCGTGA